ACATATTTTTCTGATGTCCTAAACAATAACAGAAAAAGAAGGATTTATTTTCTCTTGGTTGCTTGCTAATCAAATTTTACTTATAGGAAGGCATGGGGGGGGGGGGCGGGGAAGCATGCAGAGGCATATGTGCAAAGTTACGTAAGGTATCTGAATCACAGCTTGATTATGTATCTCCATCCTGTATACATACAGTAACTTCTCTCAACCTGGTTCCCTCCAGATATGTTGCATTTCAGCTCACATAATCCCCATCTAGCATGACTAATGGCCAAAGGTCAACAATTTATTAATAAAGTTTATTTTTTTAAAAAAGAGGAAATAATATTGGGTGTGAAAGGTTGAGCCTTATCTTCTTTTTATGATTTTATAAACCAGTCTAGCAGCCTTTCATGATGAGGAGTGGAAAATAAATGCTTTACATTCCTAACTAAATACATTTATGCTTTTTAATTTGCACAGAGCTTTGAGAGAGGTCACAACATGGCGTATGTAGAGATTCTCAGCCAACCACACACAGCATTGCCTGAATACAAAACTACACTCATATTCACATTTCCATCCAATATACCTCTAACATCCCTACGAATATTCTTTATTCATTTGTCCATAAATACATTCAGTAACCAAGGAGAATGCACACATCCTTGTCTTACTCATCACTCAGTGTTGTACTAGTGAGTGTTCCCTCACTTCAGTTTCATCCCAAATCATTTCATCACTGTATTCTTAATTCTATTCCCTTTGCTTGAGGCTCCTTTTTTAGTCCCTTTCACCCATTTCTATAACATTTTAAAATTATTTCCATCAAAATCACTCTGTGTATTCTGTGCCTGTTTTAACTGTAACTGTCCCTTGCTATCTTCCCTACATTCTTTGCAACTATTTTTATCTCTTTCTCATTCTGCAGCAATCATTCCCTTAATTGCATTTTTTTTTATTTTACACAACCTCACTTCATCATTTCACCAAACATCCTTCTATACTTCCTATTAGCATAGCTCCAGATTCTTCTGTGGCCTTCTGTAACATAATTCTTTTCACTCTATTATAAGCAGCTTCCACATCATATTTCCTTACCTCCACTTTTCATTCAATCTGTTGGGAAATTAATTTATTTTCTGCTACTATTTCATACACGACTTGTACTTTCTCTTTTTGCAAACATTCTACTTTCCCTTTCATTTCTTTCACTTTTCTTCTATGTCCATTTTTGCCCAACATCTGCTCTTGGCTTTACTAAATAATGGCCCATCCCACATTCAGACCCTCTCACCTTGCATCCTTCACTAATTCCTCCCATGTATCATCATAAACAATCAAATCAGTCATGCTCTTGGATTTATTGCTTTGTTATATGTATGCATGAATAGATTTATGTTTAAGCCACATATTCAAAACAGATCTATTCACTGAACAATTGCATTCTCATTCATTTCTGTGTCTTCAAATGGACTCTCTCAACTTGTTCCCAAGCTAATTAATCTAACTTAATATTTTCCCCCTGGTTGGCATTCATTCAAAATTTTGCAGTTTTCACCAAAATCGATCCCTCATTATTCCATTATCATAATTCACATTATCATAATTGTAACATTTAAGAATCATCAGCCTATATGTTACTATTTCATATGCACCCACAATAGTCTACATCAGTGTTTCTCAATCTCAGCAACTTTCAGATGCGTGGACTTCAACTTCCAGAATTCCCCAGTCAGCTGGCTGGGGAATTTGAGGAGTTGAAGTCCACACATCTGAAAGTTGCTGAGATTGAGAAACCCTGGTCTAGATGATACCAAGTCATAGTTTCTGCCATGCAGCTGTTTCATTTGTAATTAAACCTAACCCTTCACTTTACTGGAGATATTCACCAGCTCAACTCCACAAGATCAGACAACCATCATTCAAATCTATTGCATCCTTCAACCTTTTCTTAATTTTACAAACACACCCCTATTTTTCTCCCATTTCATTCATTACATTATGCTGTTTACCATTTACTACTTTTACATTCCAAGTTCCAATCTTCCATATGCCTTGGCCATTATCAAAAATAGTGAACTCTGTCAACCATCATGGCATTGGTCAAACAAGGATTTCACCTAGGCTTTTTTGATAAGATAGAGGTGTCACCTAGGTTACTAGTCCTAGTCATACCTATGCTACATGCCACTTTTCCTGCTAATAGTTACGTTTTGACATGTTTTGGCCAAGGCATAATCAAGGCACAACCAGTTTTACCTGAAGTTCTGTTTTACATTATTCTATACAAGCTAGTCCCCTTCATGGATCACTGCCTTGTCGTGGCGAAGGGGCTTGTGTAACTCAGTGAAGCC